CTTGTTTATTTTCTTTCTCCTCCAACCACTACTGTAGCCTCTCTGCTTGTTTATTTTCTTTCTCCCCAACCACTGCTGTAGTCTCTCTTCTTGTTTATTTTCTCGTTCTTCTTGTTTTTTTCTGTTCTTGTATTGCTGCCATCAAATCTGCTAAGCTGTATCCATTTTCTTCTTTTTTTTCTTTTCTGTCCCACTCTCTGTTTGTTTGTTTGTTTCGAATTTCGCGCAAAGCTACACGAAGGCTATCTGCGCTAGCCGTCCCTAATTTAGCAGTGTAAGACTAGAGGGAAGGCAGTTAGTCATCACCACCCACTGCCAACTCTTGGGCTACTCTTTAACCAACGAATAGTGGGATTGACCGTCACATTATAACGCCCCCCCCCGGCTGAAAGGGCGAGCATGTTTGGTGGGACGGGGATTCGAACACGCGACCATCAGATCGCTAGTCGAGCGCCCTAACCACTTGGCCATGCCCCCGCTCTCTGACACCAATTTGTTGTGTATGTAAATGTAAACCAAAATGTTTTGAAGCAACACCCCTGGTCTGTTCTAAACTTATATCAGAAGGAGTCTAGTAGAAGTGAGATATTAGTGTATATAGATTTACATGCTCATAAGGTAGGGGTTTGTGTTCATACAGTGGCTAGCAGTTGCAACCCCTATTTCGTTCCTAAAGTACTCAGACTCTATTTATATAACAACCAGTCAATAGCAAATGTAATGTGGATAGGTTACAAGATAGTTGTGTTAGCTGTTGTCATGGTAATGGCAGCAGTGGACAGCTAATCTTAGTGGTCAAGCACAAGACCTGATGAAGCTTGGGGACTTTTACTATTTAAGACCAAGTCCTTAACCTTTCTGGCTATCTTGTCTACTTAGTTGTGTTAGTTTTATCCATTCTTTTATATTTAACCTGATAACTTTTGTTTCGAAAATATGAGGAGACTTTTCTGAAACTTTTCTGTTTGATAACCTTGCAGATGTCACTGATTATCCTGTCGTCTGCAAGACTCCAGAAGCTAACCTGTGTTTGGTCCAGCTGTATCAGATTCACTAACTCACTAGGCATATACAATTTCCGGATAAAGCCCCAAATTGTTTGACCATGAAATCTTCAGGATCCCCAATACTTAAGCCTGCCAAGGATCTGCTGACAACCTCCAGGCCACAAATGTGCCCCATCAGAGGATGCTCATTGAGAAACACCTGGGTTTAGATCATCACATTCCTAAACCAAAGAAGAACTTCCTGGAGCTTAAGACTTCCAAAAATAATCTAAATGCCAGGAGATTCAACTTACATAAGAAAAAAGGGCCAAAATATCATCCATTCAACCATTGGCTGAGGAAACATCAGATGTATAGGTAGGGGTATCCACTTAGGTTGCTGTTTCTTCACCATCAGCCAAATGGTCCCAAACACATTTTCAGTGGCCAGGAAAGCTAGAGCTACCCAAAATGCCTCTGAGAAAAATAAAACAAAGTCTTCTGCCCAAAAACATCCAGGACTGAATTGCCATTACCAGGAGCAAGCTGTCAAATGGGCTCAGTAAGACCACCTCCTGAAGTATAAGAATCATTCATTGTAAATGGAAGAGGTGCATCCTCTAACACAAATCTGGCTCAGATACAGGAGGATATAGAAAGCTAGGGAGATCACCCAACAAATGACATGTGGCCAGTCAGAAATCAACCGTCATACTGGAGGGCTTGCATTAGTGTAATGTGGATTGTTTTTCTACATATGATATATAAAGACATAATTGTGTTTTTTCTCTTTCTCTTTGGGATATTTATTATTTTTTTACAGATTCACTTTTTTATTTTACACTTTTGTATGTATGTATGTATTGGTGCACATGTACATAAGTATATACTTAAAAAATCCTAAATGTGAGATGAGTACTCGATCGTCAGTGTGATTATAGGAGAGCATTTTCTTTGATTTCATGCCATTACATGTGTGGTTGCTGGTACAGATGTTGAGTGCATTATATTAAAATGATTTAGGTGCCTCATCATATCAATGTAGTCTATGTCCCACACATGTTGATAATAGCTGTACAGTTTAGTTTCTATTACAAAGGTTCAATCGTAAGGCTGCTAAGTCCAAAGCACACCCCTACTTCCTCTTACTTTCCATAAGCCATATGGTGTATGAGGATGATGATGATTTCCCAGTAGCTGTTTTAACAGTCTGGTTTCACAGAAATCCACAGGCACTGCATATGATGACTTGACTAATATATCTCTGTATAAAAAAGCATGATACCTGTCCCATTCTCTAGCTTGAGGTTTGTGATAGTTGAACAGATATGTCATGGAAGAACTTTTGTACATGTGATTTGTCAATTTGACAGACAGACGCCCTTCTTGATTATGTTGCATACTGTTGCCTAAGGCACATTGATGGCTTCTTCAACTGATCTTTGTCTGTGTATATTTTCACCTGTTCCTACACACCACACACTTTACTTACCAAAGCTATGACAACATTTGTTGCATGTCTCTTTCCATATCATCCCGGTGCCCCAAGCTGATCCATATTTCTTTGTTTTCCAATACCGTAAGCCCAGTGGATATCCCCATCTAAGAAATTCTAAATCCCTGATTTGATTAAATCTATATGGTATGAATGTATGAATATTTTGCACAAAACCAAATGATATCGAAATGTACTTCTGATACACCTGTTCCACCACGAAATTGTATCAGTTGTTTTCGATGTGAGTTACTGATTTGCATATTCAAAACCTTTTAAATATCATGTCCTAAATCCTCTCTGTTTGTGGATGTTATGTTGCTGTTTTTTACTAAAAGTTAATTTAGCATTATGTAATATTAGTGTCTTTAGTTTTAACCTCATATTAAGGAATTGTGCATTCTTAGATTTTGGTTTGTAGCTCACTTTAGCAAGGGGTTTTATTTTTTATAGTTTTGATATGTATTACTTTTCCTTTTATGAAGAGTTATTTTTATCACATTTAACAAGTAATGTTTAAGAGCAAGTTTTGTATTTATTTTATTATTGTATTTTTATGTGATATTAAGGCATTTGTTTTGCTTTGCATTTCTCGTTTTGTATCTTTGTTCTTCATGTGTGTGACTGATTCTTAATTATGTTTAAGGGCTATGTTATTTAGGACTATTAAAGATTATGTTATATAGTTTCGATTTTATGTTTATTTTTGATGTAAGGGGCGAGGATAGATTACACTGCTTTTTTAACCAGTGCACGAGTTTAATAGGATTTTAAATTGTAAAATTAGGACTGGCTGAGGATGGCCTGAAAGCAAAAGAGAGAGGAGATATTTGGCCTGCAGGCATGCTAGGTTTTCTCTACCTCCTTGGTCTAATAAAGTGAAGTTCACCTGAAAAACTGTCAAGGTTTTCATGCATATGAGGAAATGTAAGTTTAACGTGAAACTTTCGTCGCGAAAATGTTTGAGTTCCTTTTGTGCTAGTTACCTATTGTCCTGGCTCATCGCCTCTTATGGTATCAACTGCGCTGTCTCGCTACGTAAAAGTACACAGTGCAATTTTTCTCTCACGGGCAATACATTGAGGAAACAAACAAACAACAACAACAAAACGGTTAGAATGACCAACAGTAATATAAGTAGTGCAATCACATTTACAAGAATAACTCTATAGTTCCGTGTGTATAATACTTTGTTTTTGTTTATTTTTTAGTCTGGGAGCTCCAGTAAAGTGTGCAGTTCTCCTTGTATTAGTATACTAAATTTTTTTGTATCTTTTATCAAATAAGATTATTATATTTTTTCCAGTCTTCTTCTTCAATAAACACACTCAGAACCAAGAGAATTAAATTATAACATTCCTATAATAAAGAGTTAATTGTTATCGTATGATTGTATGTCTTGATAATTTACTAAATTACAATCAGAAGAACTGCTTTCCACATTCAAGCTACACAGATGGTGCCATCGAAGCAACCCGTAATCTTTATAATAAGAAATACATGAAGTATTACAGGTTCACTAATTTCCCTCTTAGTATTCAGGTAGGGTCCTCAGAATATTTAGGGGTTCAAGTAGAAAATGTTATGAAGAGTTAAATTGCGAAAATAATACTCCAGCTAGAAAAAAAGTTTTCTATACGTGCCTTTTTTATAGCGGAAATCAATCCTACTTTGATCAAAATGTCAAATAAGAATGAGTGACCAAAAGTATTATATTTTAAAGACTTGAAGGATTGTGATCACATACATTGTTTTTTGGGTCAGTACACTCAAACATAAAAAATAATTTGTTTACGTAATTTTGTGCAGACTTAAATTAGGAAACAAATAACCGATCTCTCAATGTGTGTGTATATAAACATTATATATGTGCTGTATATAATATACGTTTCAACATTTTACCATAGAACGAAAAGTGAACCAACATTTTGTAACTTTTCTTGCTCCACATCAAATATCGTAGTGCTATATTGCTATTTATTAAGTGTCAAAGTTTGTAGTATTTCAAAATATAGCTTTATTTCACATCAGTAGTGGGCAAAACCAAAATACGGTTCGCAGTAAAATTTTAATTGGTTTATTTCATCTATATAAAAGTCGAAAATAAGAGTAAAAATCTCAAGTAACTTTTGTTTCTATAGTAATCTATATAACAGCTTCTCTACAATTAAACAATCAAGTTTTCATGAAATTATATGATGTTCAAATTTAAATTCCAAACAAAAAGAGAGACTTTACAGCGTAAAGAAAGAAAAAAAACAAGTATTTTTAGTATATGATTTCTAAAGATTTCAGTTGGTTGTTTTCAGGAGGTCTCTACAGCCTGTAATCTCCCAAATCCTGGGTTCGAGGCTAGCCTGGAATATCAGGATAATAGTTTCAGAAAGCTCAATGTGGGATAAAGGATATATTTGTATTATAGAAGTTGTTTTAAATTATTAGCTTATTATACGGACTTAGGACTAATCTAACTCTCCTAAGCTAGCCGATCTTCGTGAGATGTTATTGGATTTACGGCCGAAAACCTCGCTATCAGTGAAAGTACACAATTGATCAAACAATGCATTATAATCTTTATAAGTAAGAACAGTATATTTAATGAACTACGCACATTTCTGGGTTGATTTTTAGTTTTTATCTAAGTAGTTAATAGCTTGTTTTAATCAGAAGTTAATATTAATATTATTTATAAGTATCAAGTCCGATTTTTAGCGTCGTAAATCCAGAGACATACTGCTGAACCACCGGGGGGGGGGGGTATGTAAAGACGCACAATGTGCTATCTGCGTTCTGTCGCTGCGTGGATCGACTCCCGAATTGTAGAATTATAAGCCGTGAAGCTTACCGAGAGACTGTATTATTTTTAAGTTCAGTCATGCAGGTATTTGGTGTTGGTATAAAGTTCAATACCTATCATTAAAACAAATATTATCTTAGTTCGTGTCACATCCTCATGACTCAAACTAGACTTACAGTGTCAAAGTGTGGATCGGTTTTCCGAGTCATAAACTACTGGAACAACTGGTTCCTCCCGTGAAACTAGACTTACAGTGTTAAACTGTGGATCAGTGTTCCGAGTCGTAAACTACTGGAACAATTCCCGTGAAACTAGACTTACAATGTCAAACTGTGGATCAGTGTTCCGAGTCGTAAACTACTGGAAAAACTGGTTCTTCCCGTGAAACTAGACTTACAGTGTCAAACTGTGGATCAGTGTTTCGAGTCGTCAACTACTGGAAAAACTGGTTCTTCCCGTGAAACTAGACTTACAGTGTCAAACTGTGGATCAGTGTTTCGAGTCGTCAACTACTGGAAAAACTGGTTCTTCCCGTGAAACTAGACTTACAGTGTCAAAGTGTGGATCAGTGTTACGAGTCGTAAACCACTGGAACAACTGGTTCTTCCCGTGAAATGACACGTCTTAATAGTACCACAAACTTTAAAATAAAAATATCCCCAGCTAAATATTATAGTTTACTTTATTATTTCACATACTAGGGTTTTATACTGGGAGGTGTGCAGTGAGGGAGGCAGATGGGTGAGAAATTGGGGAAGGGAGTGGAAGAGACTAAGTGCGCATCAGGGGACAACTAATTGCGCAGTCCTGAGGGGGGAAAACTAAATGCGCAGTCAGGGGAGCAGTTGGTAACTGGGAAAAAAATATAGTATGCCTGAAACAGGTCTCCAGGAACTAATGTCACATTTTAAATGTTTATTTTTCGTGGGGGAGACAAATTTTTAAAGTTCGTGCTCAGGAATTTGAATTAAAAAATTACAGTTTTATGTTCAAATAAATAACTTGATTTTTATGTCACGTGACAACTTTCAATCAAGTCTATGCAATTAGGAAATAAGAAAACATTAGTATTTGAAGATTGATGTAGCCATCCAGCTATGTGCTTAATTTTATGATAACCCTCCTCGTGGGGGACAACGCCAAGTGTACTAACTTATAATGTTAAAATCCAGAGTTCGATTCCCCGCGGTGGACACAGCAGATAGCCTAATGTGGCTTTGCTCTAAAATAAATAAACAAAACATTTTTTAAAAATAAATACATGTTTTGGAAAATAATATACTTACACCTAAACTATCATATTTGTCAAAACGCCATCTAGAATATTTATTCTTTTAAATATATTTTATATAAATATCTGATCACTCAAAGATAATTTCTGAGGATATTTTAAAATAACTTTAAGTATCTTAAGTACAGGCAGCATAATCTATACGCTAATATTACAGTTAGGCCTAAGACAAGAATATATCAAAAAAGGACAAACCTTTGTCGCCCTCTTTCTCTCATTTAGATCGGATTTTGAAGGAAGCATTTCTATAACAAAAATATTAATAAGAATAAATGATTTTACTTCCTTCTCCTCAGATTTTTATAGTACTTTATGATGTATTCACTAACCGAGTTAACGAACCAAAAACTGTATAAAATAGATAATGTTCCCTCTTCCTTCTTTATTTTGTTATTAAATCCCTAATGACGTTATTAGATGCTAATCGCATGCCCTGCTTTGTGAAATGTAATAATTGACACTTTAAACTAATTAAGTATTTAATGTATTTTAATTTCAAAGACAAAAGTCTATTAAAAAATACTAGAAAATGTGCCCTATTTCAGGGTGCTTTTTAATTCACGGGCAAAAATTCTAAAACAAAGTCGCCAATATACACAATTGGACAGCTTCAGTTATCATATTGTTACGTATCTGGTCGTTAGTTAATTTTCCGTAAAAATTCTTTCCGAAGAAACTTTACCGATCCAAGTCCTTTCTTAAATAAAACTGGTTTATTCTTTCTGAATACAACTTTGCAATACACTTAATTTCAACAGTCGCGCTATAACAAACGCTATAATTCACAACGAACGTCTCACGTGCTCGACTCAACAATACGTCTCTCTCTGTCCACAGTTCAATTACACATTGTTGCCATCAGTTCTTACCGGTCTTATATATACAAGAATACCGCATATCTAGTAACCTCCCGAGACTTCAGGAAGGGACAGGATCCTTCTAGAAGTTCATGACGTGTTACTAGAGTCACGTGACTTCCGCTGTCGTAACAATACCAATGATTACGGAAATCGAGCCAGCCAACTCTGGATGATGAATGCTAAAACACACACATACATAATGAATCATCTTTATAGCAGATTCAACGTTCTTTGGTTTCATAAACCGTTACCATAGTAACTCAAACTAAACGCCAAGCTGTTAACAACCAAGGTATTAACAACAACGTCAGGTGGGCCTTTTTTGTTAATATGTGTTAAGATAATGAGATTAGTAACGTAAGAGCGGCGTTTTGTGGAACTATTTCTTTTATCGTTGATCATATACAGAACTGAGCCATATCACGCTCTTTTGCCACTCACCACAATGTAAAAACAAACCACTATTCGTTTTATAACACCAACAACACATTTAATACGTTTAAATGTTTCAAAAATATATGCCCGAGCTAATTCTGGTAGGCCCTTTTCTTGCTGTACTTTTAATTATTTGCCCGAATTTACTCGCTTGATATCATGTATTAAAAAAGGATATCAAAAAGCGAAATAAAAAAACTTCACTTTTTTGGTTTATTCTCCCACCCCCCGAAAAAAGCTTGATACTAGTGCTAATTTATTTCGCATATTTATGTTGTAACTGCTTGATAGATCACTGAAGAACAAAAAACGATCGTTCTCATTTTCCCTGATGATAATGCAACCGCGAAACGTCGTCACAAGAACGACTGTCTACAACGATTATCAACGTCTGGTTATTAAGAATATACACATCCAACAGAAACATGGTAGGCGCGCGCGCGTTTAACTTGGTGTTACGATAAGCGAAAAAGTAACATATTAAACCAAGATCATTCACCACACGAGGAAATATGTGGCAAAAGTTAGCACAAGTTCTTATGACGTCTTTACATTTCTACGTGGAAGAATACCAATGATATTCAACATTGTGGTGAAGTCAAATACGAGTTATATTGATAATAACCTACCGGACTATCCTGGTTCTCAGAGAATTCGTAAATAACAAATCGCTCCTAGAAAAGTTCCTTAATTTTCTAAAAACCATCAGGTCGAGTCCTTAATTTTAGAGTCTAATTTTCTCAATAAGAACAAAAGTGTGACACGTTCATCAGTTAGCCCTGATTTTCAGAATCTGGTGCCGCAATTAAATATATCCTGCTAAAACAAGGTTTGCATGAGTTTTGCTTTAATATTTCATTTTCTGACCATATGGAAAAATGTGGAGGGAAACATAAAGATTACCGCAATTTCCACGTGACACAAAAATGAAATTATCAGCTTAATGTTATATGTTTATATATATATATATATACAGAATGTCTCTGGTAGTAAACGTTATAAAAACTGTACTTACCGTCATACTCCCTATTATGTATTCATGAACTGTTTTCTTCTCTCTTGGCATCATTCCTTGTTCGGGGCCTGAAGAATCGTCGTCATCAGGCTTCGGTTAAAACACAAGAGAAATAAAATTTCTTTTATGCAACAGCGATGCTAAATTTTCGCATGCAACAATGATGCTATCTTTCTACATATAACAATGATACTGTCTTTTCATATGTAACAACGATGCCAACTTTTCATATGTAACAACAATGTTAACTTTTCAGATGTCATAATGATGGTAACTTTTTAGATGTAATAATGACGCTAACTTTTCATGTGTAACAATGATGCTGAATCTTTAGATGTAATAATGATGCTAACTTTTCAGATGTAACAATGATGCTAACTTTTCTTATGTAATAATAATGATGCTAACTTTTCTCATCTAACAATGATACTAACTTTTCACGTATAACAATGATGCTAATTTTTCACATGTAACAATGATGGCTTACTAAGTGCGACAAAAACGAAATAAAACGTATTATACTCTGTGAAAATATAAAAGCTTGAAGGTTAAAATACATCATTTCCAAAATAAAGTAATGATCCGAAGTATTTCTCTGACTAACTGGTTGTATATTTAACACGTAATCGCGTCCAAAAGGTTTACAGTATATGTATACATAGTTGTTGCTCCCCAATCAAGTTATGTTCCCCTTGGATGTTCAAAGAGGAAGGGTGATCTGATGACGTATTAGGAGCAAAACTAGGGTGAAAACAATAGAAAATTCATTACGTTTACCTGTTTGTTGTTTTTATCCGTGTCAGGTGGTTCCCTCTTTACCCAACCTATGTTTACAGCTAATCATTGTTTTCAATGGGAGAGCCTAGGTCCGATGGCAACCCGAAGAACGCTTTGGAGATCATTGTGTTTCTTAAACTTAAAGAGTTGTATCATATTGGCTGGTTTGGAAGTAGTCCATTTATAATAGTTAAGGAGGCTATGGATGTCTTGTTGTATTGTCACGTTCTCGATAAATTTTCACTGACTGTGTTGAATTAACATCATGAAGAAATGTGGTCATGTATCATGCCATTCCTGTTCAACAATGTTTTGAGACAAACAACACCCTGGTTTTGCTTTTACTAACTCTAACTTGGCGAATTTTCACGAATACCATTCAAGATCGCTGTTTGTGGGACGAAAAGTCCAAAATATCATTTTACTCCTAATTAATCTGCAGAAAGGATGTTGGCCTATTCCATTAGACACACACCAACAGTTAGGGACTAGCGTTAGTGACAGAATCCAGGAAGTTATTAACAACGAAGATGCACTTCCCTAGGGACGTAGCGATAAAAACCACCCCTTTGTACGTTGTACTGTCTCAACATTTTTAGTAGCGTAATGGATATTTTTGGGCTACTAGACACGTATTAAAAAGTAATAACACCTTAAAAACTTAAGTAAAAAACCAAAACTCTTTTTTTATTTACCTCTTCTCTCAGTAATGAAGTTTGTATGTTTGTGTAAATATATAGACATAACTTATCTACACAAAAACGATATACGAAGTAAAATATTTATTAAAACAATCGCAAAATAAAGGTTAATCTTAAGAAATTATGCATGCATAATCTAGTACTTAAAGTAACTGTTGTCTAACTCAAACAATGACGTGTGCGAACTACGATTTAATGTAATTCCTAGTTAGTTTATTAGATAGAGGGCGATCGTGTATAACAACTAATAAAAATATAGGGAGAAATGACTTTATACACTAAAATGAGTGTCAACAAAAACTCGATATTAAAAGAAAAGACGAGGTAAATTTTCAAAGAATAAAAATATATAAGGTATTCAAACACAAATGTCTTCAAATTTTAGCTTCATTACAGCCCTATCTTAGAGTGCAGGGCTGAGCATTAGAAAGTCCAAGGTTCGAGTTGCGATATGCCTCCGAACATACTCCATATTTACAGCTGTGGAGTTTTTATAAGTGTGACAGTTATTCCTATTATTCCGTTAAGAGTAGCTGTGTCAGTCTAGTGACTGGTTACTTTTCGTCCGGTCTAATCCGGAATGTCTGTAACTTAAAGCGCCATTAAGGAAGAAAATACCAATACTATAAAATTATTATTTTTAAATATTTTCCGGAGACGTGTGTCAGCCATTAAAAAACGAATAACATTTATAAGCCGTTATTAACATTACTTGACCTCTCTCTCTATATAGATATATATATATACATACATAGCATATGCCTAACAGTGCTTGATTTGTTGTTAATTCCCTTCAGTACACATTTAAGACTAATTTTAAAATATCCTCACTCACCATGTTCATCATGAGGCACAGCTTGAACTGAAAAACAAAACAAATTCATGAGTGATACAAACCTCTGATAGGTACAGTTAATGAAAAGCTGGAATTTTATATATTTATCCTAAATCCTTCTGTTACATAAGAATGCCAATTTAACAATTAAACAATAGGTCTCTTGTCAGCAGTTTAAACTATCTGTTAAGTTTTCTTATTGAAAACAGTTTTTAGTGTGTAACATATCTTTGGGAAATTTCAATTTCAAAATGAACGTTTATCAAAATCAATAGATATATAGACAGATAAACAGATAGATAGACAAATAATGCTCGACCTACCTCTCGTTCAGCTGCGCAGTCCTGACATTTCTTATTTACAAGAGCAGCACCTTCAAGACCAGGAAATATCTTTTGAGTACAGTTCTCTTCAATAGCTTTCACCTAACACATGAAAAGATTCGCATCGTCACTTCTTTAGATAGAGAGAGAGAGAGAAAAAAAGTCAAGACTGTTGTCAAGTATAGATGCTTCTTATACATCGTATATGAATCACATAAATAATAAATCGAACTCTGAATGTACGGTAGAATTTAGATATCTCGACAACGTGGCTAATTTCCAAGTCAGATTTCAGTCCGTTTCTCTTAACATTTATAGTATCTGAAACTTTACATTTACTGTTATTATCCCAGAACAACTATGTTTACCCTATGACATAGAGAATACATTCCCAGAGTCCTTGGCACTTGGACGTGCTGTAATTCCAAGATATATTTTCTACCATGAAGACTCTACTGATTTTAAATCGTAACAGAAACAAATGTTCTTTTTTTTTTTATTCGCACATTAAATAAAAAACAAATAAATAATATACTTTACAAAAATTCGATTAAACTGATAAAATGAAATAAAATTCTAATCTACCTCTGGTGGGCAGCTGTCCCTCAAACACTGATATCGGGCCGTCTTTACGCTGTCTTTTATTCCAGACGCTGGAAAAAAAAAGAATCAACATTATTCATTTGCGGGAATAAAAAAACTTCTCTTATCTAGATGATCAAGTATTTTAAAATCCAACAAACTGTGTATCCATTACTGAACTCTCGCGTGTCTGCTAAATCAGGAGCTAAGAAAGTACTTACATTAATTGTTTTAAGTTCAAGCTGTTGGTATCTCAAAGTCTACACTTAAACAAGAGCTTTAAGCACTAAACTGTAGGTCTGTCTGCCACTGAAAATCTGCTGCTAAATAATTTCTGTGGTCTAATATAAGAAAATACTATACAACATAGAAGCACTAAAAACTTCTGTTTGGATTAATGATCGATTATCAAGCACATAACAACCAAGCATCTTGACAGTAGCCCTCAAGTGTATTTTCTATTGCACAAGGCTCCATCGTAAGACTCGTATGTCAAAAGCACACCACTTCTCCCTGCATGCTTTCCACAAGTCTTTTAACAAATTTGAGCTCTTTTTTTAAAAAAAAAGCCCCTCCCTTTACATGCTAGTAGTAGTACTACTTTTCGTTAAGCAAATATTTAGTTTATTTTATATCATAACAATAAATATCATAATCACATAATTCAAAGAAAAACAACAACAACAAAACAAACAAACAGCAAACGAGTATATTAGAAAACTTGTTGAAGTAAACCCAGATATTATAAAGCGTTTGTTTTTTTGTCCGATGAATTTTGGCGCAAGACCAATCTGCACTAGCCTTCCTTAATTCTGTATGACTGGATAGTTTTGACTGTCGCTCTTATAACGCACCTATGGCCCTAAAGTGTGGAGCTCAATATTTATTTTATCCAAAACGTGAATCTTCAGATCAAGAGTTCAACATACTAACCATTAGGACGCGCTTCTTTCCATTGCGAACCAATCTTTTAAGAAGAATCAAGAGACAAAGCAAACATTTAAAAACATTAAACATTTTAGATAGAGTAAGTGTTCGAGTTTATTTTCTTTTGAAAATAATATATACAAAATTCAAACCGTTATTTTTAAGAAAAGCTCTAAGTTTTATAAGATCTTGCACCTAAAAGCTTACCACAAAACCCCGTTTCGGCAAGCACTTCAACGATGAACTCGGGATTTGACACGACCATTTGACCACAACTAAGAAGCACGATGCTTACAACGACCAGTGTGATTTCCATGATTGGACGAGGCAAAGTTTCGGATCAGAAAGAGAGGTTGTTACTTGGATCAAACTTACAAATATATATACATATCTAAGCTCTGAGCTTATGACGTAAATCCACAAAGTACACCTGTCTCTACACAAACAAAAATAGGCAAAATACAACTATCTTGAGTCACTGTGTACACTTTGCTGAACTGAAAGTTTTAGGCACGGCAAAAAAATAAAATATAGAATCCTACTGGACATGAAACTTACTTCTGAAAGTTTTGTAAAACGAATAATGGCTGAAAATATGAATATGGTAACACATACAGTGTGTTACCATATCTTAACACACTAACTCTGTATGTGTTACCATATCTTAACACACTAACTCTGTATGTGTTACCATATCTTACCACACTAATCTGTATACGTTACCACACTTACTCTGTATACGTTACCATATCTTACTACACTAACTGTGTGTGTGTGTTACCATATCTTACCACACTTACTCTGTATACGTTACCATATCTTACTACACTAACTGTGTGTGTGTGTTACCATATCTTACCAAACTTACTCTGTATACGTTACCATATCTTACTACACTAACTGTGTGTGTGTGTTACCATATCTTACCACACTAATTTACAGAGTTAGTGTGTTAAGATATGGTAAAGTATCTAGGGCCAATGTGGTAAAATATAGTAACACATACAGAGTAAATATGGTAAGATATGGTAGTACATACAGAGTTAGTGTGGTAAGATATGATAATGTATAGAGAGCTAGTGTGGTAAAATATGGTAACACATACAGAGTAAATGTGGTAAGATATGGTGCAGTATGTACTGTAAGTGTGGTTAGATATGGTAACACATACAGAGTAAGTGTGGTAAGATATGGTAACGTATAGAGAGTTAGTGTGTTAAGATATGGTAACGTATACAAAGAAAGTGTGGTAAGATGGTAACGTACACAGAGTAAGTGTGGTATGATATGGTAAAGTATGTAGAGTTAGTGTGGTAAGATATGGTAACGTATACAGAGTTAGTGTGGTAAGATATGGTAACACATACAGAGTTAGTGTGTTAAGATATGGTAAAGTATGCAGGACCAATGTGGTAAAATATGGTAACACATACAGAGTAAATGTGATAAGATATGGTAGTACATACAGAGTTAGTGTGGTAAGATATAATAACATATACAGAGCTAATGCGGTAAGATATGGTAACATCCACAGATTTAGTGTAGTAAGATATGATAATGTATACAGAGCTAGTGTGGTAAGATATCGTAACACATACAGAGTTAGTGTGATAAGATATGGTAACGTATACAGAGTAAATGTGATAAGATACGGTACAGTATGTACTGTAAGTGTGGTAAGATATGGTAACGTATACAGAGCTAGTGTGGTAAAATATGGTAAAGTATGCAGTGTAAGTGTGGTTAGATATGGTAAAGTATGTAGAGTAAGTGTGGTAAGATCTGGTAACGTATATAGAGTTAGTGTGGTAAGATATGGTACGGTATACAGAGTAAGTGTGGTAGGATGATAACGTACACTGAGTAAGTGTGGTAAGATATGGTAAAAAGAAAAAACTGCCTAATGTTTATTCATTAAGCTGTAAACGTGGTATAAGCTGCCTAGTGTTTATTCATTAAGCTGTAAACATGATATAAGCTGCCTAATGTATATTAATTAAGTTGTAAATATGGTATAAACTGACTAGTGTTTATTCATTAAGCTTTAAACGTGGTATAAGTTGCCTAATGTTTATTCATTAAGCTGTAAACGTGGTATAAGCTGCTTAGTGTTTATTCATTAAGCTGTAAACGTGGTATAAGCTGCCTAATGCTTATTCATTAAGCTGTAAACGTGGTATAAGCTGCCTAGTGTTTATTCATTAAGCTGTAAACGTGGTATAAGCTGCCTTATATTTATTAATTAAGTTGTACTGTTGATATCACCACACTTCTTTTGTGGTGTGTAAATCGACACACTTCGTTACTAGGTAACTCGTTAAACGAATATTTTTACAATTAAAATAACAATAATAATGATTATAAGTATTTCTCCATAAATTTCGACTACCACAACGTCACAAGTGTCATTGAATCTGACAAGTTCACATCGACTGTTGAAATGTATTAACTGAGAAGGCCACGTGTTAAACTGTGTGAACAGAGAAGACTATGATAAAGTTGGAATATTTTTTATTCGCCAAAGACTACCAACAAGAGACAGATCTGAAAATTAAAGTGATCCGGCATCTTGAGGATGGCATATCAGGGTATGCATGGATTGGAGTAAATATTTGAAAATTCATTAACATGTTTAAAAAAAAAAGGGGTAAACGTGCAAAAATTACACACTGTTACATGTTTCTTTTAACTGTTTTCTTTGAAATCTCATCTCCCAGCGGTTCAGCGGTAAATAGAACGCTAAAATCCGCGGTTCGATTCCCCGCGGTGAACAGCGCAGAGAATACCCATTTTGTAAGGTTTTTCTAAAAAACAATTTTAAAATCTCTTAAATGGTTTCAGTGAAAAAAAAAGGTTTTATTCTGTATGTCTTGGCCGAATCGTTTTGAACTTACAACGAATCAGATGTTAATTAAAAACGAAACTTTATTAACGTGTTAATGATTTACTAAAATTCCTACGAATATTAAGCACATCTGCAGTTTACGTCAGTAATAATATTAAACTTATTAAGTTTCCGTTATTAAGATTAACTATGTTTCTGTGACGAGATTAATGTTTATGACGTAACTTTTTACACTAACGTGAACAATATTAAATTTCAATACATCATTTTACATCGCGTGGCTTTAACGTGATCAACGTTTATTTAAATCACTGTGATAGAACGTTAGTAATGATATTGAAGCTCATGAAGACACTTAACAATGTACACAGCGTGGTCACAAGTAAATAGACGCCACCTTTTCAGAAAAAATGAAATTTTTCAGTCATATTCACATGAATTGATATATTTATAATTTAATTAATATCTAGTAGATAATCCTTTCGCTTCGTGGAGTTCGTTGATCCTTTGGAGCATCGTGAGAATCATCTCGTCAATTTTAGATTGTGGGATTTTCGCCCACTCTTGCTTCAAAACTTGGAGTAGATCGCTCTTCGAAGTTGTTTTTTTTGGTTGTTTCTTGACTTGCCAGTCGAGTATGACCCAGAGGTTTTCGATGGGGTTCATGTCAGGAGATTGGCTCGGCCAGGGCAACTTTTGGATAACATTTTCTTCCTGCCACTTTTGGGTGTTTCTAGCAGTGTGACACGGTGCTCCATCTTCCTGGAACAACGTTGTGTTCTTGTCCACGAAACCCGAGGAAAAAAGTGACAAGACTCCTTCCTCCAATATTTCGACGTATTTCGCAAAATGTATGTTGCCAACGCACTCCACTAAGCTCTATCTCCCACCAACCCCAACAGCTCCCCAAACCATCACGCTGAAATCACCATGCTTCATAGTTGACTGCAATCTGTTGAGCCAAAACTCTTGGTGAAGCATTTTCCAGACCCATATCCTTCCACTGTCCGAAAATTGAGCGAATCTTGATTCGTCTGAGAACAATACGGTCTTCCCAAAGTCCAGAGG